GTATGCATGCTTAGATGGCAGATCAAGACCAACCTCGTGAAAGACCTTATATTTCCTTAGGAGGTTATACTCGTGAAAACGCTCTTTAACAGAACTTTAGCTTTAGCTAGTCATGACCAAAAAACCACTGATTTTGCTTGGTAGGTCAGGAATGCCTCATTTATCAATTTATACGGCTCCAGTAAACTAATGGGGAGCTCATGTAGCCCATGCCGATTAATATACTTATAATGTAGTACATAAATGTATATTAGTTATAATTTATAACTAATATACTTTAAACGAAGTATATCAATTAGTGACATAATATGTCTAAGATGAACTACACCAAGGTACATCAAATTGATAATTTACCATGGTTTCATTGTTTTAAGAACTCATGTTAAAAGTTGTTATGATATCTCTTCTATCATTTGATTTACCATACTTGAAATATATGTTCCTAATGTGAGGAATTATTTTATTTTCTTGTTAAATCTCACCGAATTTGGTATTCATCACAATTTAGACCCGCGACAGACATAATTCTTTTAGGCAAAATCCTTGCTATATTTCCTTGAATATTAAAGGTTAGTGTATGACTTGATTCTTTTTAGACAACCTCTAATTAAATGTACCAACAATTTTGAATTACTATCTCTTAATTCTTAAATGATAAAAAATGTCAAAAATCATTCGTTGAACAGTTCCATCCTTCTCATCTTTCTCATAGAAAGACTTTTTATGCTGTTACCTAAGTTTTCTGATTTCGAGTAAAAGTGCACTTTCAACTTAACATTCAAAATGAAATTTTACTAACGAAGTAAAACATAACATAAAGTATAAATTGTATCATTGATATCATTTTATAACTATTGGGGATGAGTGTTATTTGAGAATAAATTGGATTGTTGGACATCCAAATTTTACTATTCTTGTAAAATTGAAATGTAGTTGCGAATTTTGAGAGTAGCTATTAGTTTTTACAACTGTCCCTTAAATAAATATAAGAGAGAAAATTATCAAAACCAAATAAGTATGGTTGAGCTCACGGCCTATAGAATGAACATTTGGATTTTGGTTTGGCCATGCAACTCATAACTCATAAATAGTTTATGGGCGGTTAAAATTAAGATTTTTTAGTCGTTAAACTTTAACTACTAACTCTAATGTTAAGACTTTTAAGATAGCCTTTCAAATAACTACAAAAAGAGAGAAAATTATCATTATATTCTTTTCCTCCCCTTCCCCTCCTTTAGGTGTGAAAATAGAAAAAATATTGTCTACTTCTTTGGATTTTATCTTCAAATAGATTCCCACCTACTTTAATTTGGTCCAATGATGGTGATGATATGGTAAATAATATCTTGTGGAGGTCCTCTTGGTCGAAGCTTCGAGAAAATTTATGAAATGGTATGTTTGCTTTATAATTTTAAATAATCCCGAACTATATCAAATTTTGATATCTAAATAAAATTCATGTTAGTAAGGAAGTAACCTTTTAGCTAGTGGAATGAGCATAGATAAAAAAATAATGGGAGAACTAAAATGCAAGTAGATGTTGAGATCTAGGGAAAAGGGAAGTTGAAAGGTTTAATTGTCATGGGGAGGAACAGTTCAATGAACTGTTCCAAGTTTTTTATAAAGGTTTTCATTTCTCACTCATAGAAAAATAGAAATGAGAATGTGACACACCGCCTTCTTCAGAACAACTATATATGGTTTATGAAATTTCTATGTAATTTCACCCATGAACTTAAAAACTCAAGGTAGTCCTGGGTAAAGAAGGAGAAAACGAGATCTTGGCTTGCAGTGCATACTCGACAATTCATTCTCATGATTCTTGGGAGGTTTTTCATTCTATATTTCTAAGTAGCTATTGTCGTAGTACTTAGAAGCTAGGTAGTTATTGTTGTAGCATCAAGAGAACTTTGTAGAGAGTTGTGAGTCCCATTGTATTATCTCAATCATAGTAAAACCCGCACATCGCGGAAGACGGGGCATAGCCCATAGTTAAGTGAACCAGTATAAATTTATTGTGTCGTTTTCTGTGTTTTCCCTATATTCTCATATTGTGTGGTTGGATTTAGTTTTTTCACTGATTAACTGTGTAAGGGAAAAAGATTCTTGGTAAGCACTTTTCCCAACAAGTGGTATCAGAGCATTGGTTTAGAGTCATGGGATTCGGCGACAAGTCTAATTTCGAATGGACAATGAGATTCAATGGACAAAACTTTGATTTTTGGAAGATGCATATGAAAGACTATCTGAGCTGCAAAAAGATAGGATGACAGACAAAGGAATGGGCAGAAACTGATGAACATGTCGTTGCTACAATTAGACTGTGTCTATCAATGAATGTGGCAAGTCTTGTGACGAGCAAGATAACGACGATAGGTCAGGTATATCTCATCAGGAGATATTTCAACATTCAAAGGGATGAGAAGGCGTTGGTCAACTACCACATAAACGAAGTCACTAAACTAATGAATCAGCTGGAGTCGATAGAAATCACCTTTTTAGAGGAAGTGAATTCTTTAAAACTGCAAATTTTTTTTTTTTTTTTGCCTGAGAGCTAGAAAACGATGAAAACGGCTGTGTTGAATTCATTGGGGAGTAGAAGTCTAAACTTTTCAGAAATCTGTGATGCTGCAATTGATGAGGAGATTTGCAAGAAAGAAAGTGGAAAGAATTGCACATCCACTACTTGGTATGGAGAAATCTACGGATTCAGCTTTGACAGTTCAACGTAAAGGTAAAGGAAAGATGAATTATGGAAGTAAATAGCAGAGGCGTAGCTAGAAGAGTGAGAGCAGTAATTTTGAATGCCTTACAGCCATAAGAAAGATCACTTCAAGAGACATTGTAGGAGGCTTAAGGAAGATCAGGAAAAGGAAGACACTTTAAATCACAAGTTAGTCGATGTGTTAGCTTGCATTGAGAGTAACACAATACTTGTAGATTAGTCATCAAAGTGGGTAGTAGATGGTTCACGTCCTTCACTGCTAGCAATCATGTCACGATGAGGATGGGAAATGGTAGATTCTCCAAGATCAGAGGAATTGGGGATGTTCGCCTGATGACCGACGGTAAGATTGAGCTAGTTCTACATGATTTTAGGTACATACCCAGCTTTAGAATGAATTTGATATATGTAGGGAAGCTGGATAACGAAGGTTACAGAAGTAAGTTTGCATAGAATAGGTGGAAACTCATGAGGGGATTCGAGGCAGTGGTTGTGGGCCAGAGAAGCTTTAATGTATGTGTCGAGATTTGACTTATAGAGAGACAGATAATGCACAGGGCTGCAGATGGTTCATGGGGAGACATGTGATAGTGTGATTTATACACCACATTTCATGATATTCAGGTGGAAATTATTTAACAATTTTTTATCATTTATGGCTTATTTACGTGCATAACTGATGTTTTTATAGGATCAAGCCATTAGAAAGAATTGAAGCATAAGCGATCAATTGAGAGGAAAACTAGAGCGAAAAAGAGGAGCTTAATTAAGCTACATCAGTGCCGCAGCACCATGGCGCCTGCAGGTCAGAATTGAGAGCAAAATCCCGAAGAAGCAGTGCCATAGCGTTAGTACACAGCGTCATGGCGCCCTGCAGACGAAGCTTGGTCCTTTTTCCGCGATGAAGTGCCGCAGCACTGTATTGTAGCGCCATGGCGCTAAGAACTTGCACGTCCGTCACAAATCCGGGACAGCGCCATGGCGCTCACTAATGGCACCATGGCGCTGTAGCGATGCCCTCACATAAGTAAAATATGAGTGCGCCGTTTTTGGGGACTTTTAGGAATTCTCACATTGGAGAATTGGAATTTGGAGAGGATTGGCTCGAGATTTGAAGCAAGAAGGGCGAGGAGACGATTTTCGAAGGCTCGTGATCGTGGAGATTGAGTCGGGGATGGTCAATCGACACTACGGCTTTAGTTTCTCTCCTTTGCCTTATCTTTTCTAGATTTATTATGAAATTCTTTATGGGATTTTATTGTATTTTCGTGACCATGAGTAGCTAACCTTCTTGTTCTAGCGATTGACGTAGCCGTTGGATTTATGAGTTGGATTTATTAACAATTGTCTTGATTGATTTTTTTTAATCTACTTGTGCATTTATTTGCTTAATGCTTTTAATCTCTTGATCACGGATTAATTGTTGCTAAATCTGAATCTTATGCTCGGGAGAGGTGGTTTAGATTGGAACCTAAATGCATGACTGGGGTAGTTCTAAGATTGGGAGATTTAGAATTATAGAGGTTATTAAAAGACTAAGACTTAAGACCCTGCTTGTTAATGAAACTAGATAGGGATATTGGTTTCTTAATAAGTGGGAGAATTAATTGTGCTCAGGAGAGACAGTTATGATTCTTGATTTCTTGACTTATAGATTAATTTCATATTCAATCTTGCATATTTAATTTACCCGCTTGTAGGTTCAGTTGGTAAAATCACTTCCCCAAGACCCGTTCTCTACAAGAGTTTTCTTTAGAGTTTTTTTATTCGCTTTGTTATTTGATTTTTGTGTGTCAAAAGAAATTCCTGGTTTCTCTAGATAAAATTGGACATTAATATCTGTAGTACTTGAATGAGTAGAAACTCAATCCAGTGGACGATATCGGTAATTACTTACCACTTTTATTAAAATTTGACCCTTACACTTGTGGTAAGCATTTTCTGCTACAAGATGATAGAATGAGCAGCATTGACAGTTATGACAGATGAGGAGAATCTGCCATCAGTTGAGGTTCAATAGTTGGGAGGTTGAGAGAAGAAAAAGAAGAATAGCTTGATGACAGTAGACTGTTAAGTTAAAGCCCCAGTTGTAAAATGATTTAGCGAGCTGATGAAGTCGCATAGGAGAAAGAATGCATTGAGAAGAAAGACTACAGTCGGTGCAGAGGTCAAGGGTGAGGTCTCTAGCTTGGCAACAGACTTGGGTGTGTTGCTAAGTCATCAGTGAAGAAACTTTCCTTCAAGAGTCGTTGGGTGCAATCAAAGAAGGAAGTGTCAATGACAACTTAGTTCGAGCGACAAACAAGACCACGTTGGATTGTCTAGTCTTAGGGCAATCACAGATAGAACCTTAGTTGTCGCCAAGAAGATGTTAGAAGATTTCGTTACAGTTGGGAGCAGAGTCTTGATTGGTGCTAAGAAGATGTTGATCAGTTACTTTTGGTACAATGTGAACTGAACCTTGGTGGTTTGCCAAGAAGGTCGACACTATTGTTGTAGTAGACGACGATAAATTGTATTTTTATCACAAGTGGGAGATTGTTGGGATCGAAGAAAAAAAAACATGAAATTAAATGTTGCATATGGTGAAAAACCAAGTAGCCTAAAAGAGACCATGAGAGGGTGGCGTCAGTCCTTGATAGAGAAATGGAGAAAACGAGATCTTAGCTTGTAATGATTCCTATATCAATGTGGAGAGCAATTATGTTGATAGTATAATTATTTGTACTCCTAAACTAGTGAGAGAGCTACCTTAATGGAATGGCCTCTTTCGGTTAATTAATAGGCTCCATAATTCAATTTTTAATAAATAAATACCTTTGCACAATAATGTCGCGCGGGACTCCATTTGATGTCCTCGTAGGATTCATTATAGATTTCTTGTCGTAATTGCAAAATGAGAGGAGTGAGAGATCCCACAAATCGCTTCCCATATAAATACGACATAGGAAGATACGTTAACCGACAGTAGCAAAGAAGACTTGCTGGATTTACAGGCAGTATATTTCCAAACATCCAAAATTCTGGGGGCATTGGGTTTGCTCCTTCCCACTCATACACTCCTATGATCTGTATGCATGCATACAATAATTAATTTTCTTAAATTCAATTTATTTGAAAAAAAAAATTATACGACAATAATAATAGTAATGCTAATTCAGTGTAGTGTACTAATACTGAATACTCACGGCAAGCCAAATCTTTCCCCAAGAAGGTATGTAAAGGGCACCTCCGTGATCTAGAATCCATTTTCGAGCTCTACCACAAGCGTTCGTATCAGGTTCTTCTCCAAGCAAACGCAATAGAATATAATTTAGAACCGTGCAAAGCATGCAACTTTCTCCTACTATGTGCAATCCCCATCCACCATCTTCATTCTGAAAGGTTAGAATTCATTTATAAGCTCATTGGCAAGATTACTAAAATTTAATAAAGAAGTGTATTAAAAAAAAAGTATGAAGTTTGTAAAGTTGTGTTTTTTCTTTTTCAATCGATTTAAAGTAGGAGTCTATTTGGTAATACTCTTATTTTCTTATTTCTCATTTACTCTTTTTCGATCAAGTAAAAACATAACTGCGAATGTACTCTTGTTTCTAATTGTTTTTTTTTTAATTGAAAAAAGAAATAGAAACATATTTGGTAAACATTTTTTTTTCTCGAATGTTCTCTAAAGTTTAAAATCATAAAAAAAAGTAAAAGATTTATATCAAATTAATTTTTCAAATTAAATGTTGAAATTTTTTATTTTATATATATATATATTGAAATTTATTATGCATTTTTTAGGTAAAAAGTTATAAACTAATATTTTAATCTATGTTTTGAAAAAAATAACTAGAAACAAAAAACCTGATTCGGTTGCTTTCAAAATTTCTATACAATTTTAGAAACGTATATAATATATATAAAAGTGCAGACATTGAACAAACTTTTTTTTTAGACAAAATTACTCTTCAATTTTTATTAAATACCATATATGTCATTTTATTCATTTTAATTAAGTTCGTTTTTTTGCTGGCCACTTTTGAAATTCATTATTTTTTTTAATACTTGTATATACTATTAAGAAAAAATAAATATGTTTAACTTATTTGTGTTTTTAGATTCTATTTGCATTCACTTTAATTTTGCATATGAAAAAATTTCTTATCATTATTTAAAAGTTTTAAATTATAGAATTTAAAAGTTGCAGAATCTCAAAAGTTCTACGATCTCTTTTTTTTGTTACAACTATAAAATGAAAAGAGGAAGATATCTGATGGCCTTAAGATAATACTAGGTTTTTCCCTCTATAAATAGAAAGAAAATAGAGTTACGCTATAAATCTCTACTATTTGCTATATTGACAATACTCTACAATTTTATTTATTGGAGAATGTTTTACACTATATATATATATATATATATTTCTTTTTTTAATGTAGACAATATTAATAATCTTAGGTTTGTTTTAATAAAAATTACATTAGGTTTTTTTGACAAAATTATCCATTCACTTTTTATTAAATATCATATATGTTCTTTTATCACTTTTTATAAGTTACCATTCTAGAGTTCTTTGTCGGCCAGTTTTGCAATTCATTAGTTTTTTTTTTCTTTTAAATACTTGTATTGAAAAAACAAATATGTTTAATTTATTTGTCTTTTATTTGCATTCACTAGAGTTGTATTTAAAAGTTTAGAATTTCAAAAACTTTCTCAATATTATTTAATAGTACTTAATTATAAAATATTAAAAGTGGTAGAATCTGAAAAGTTTTGAAATCTATTTTCTCCTTACAAACTATAAAATGATTCTATTTTATTCATTTCCAAAATCAATTTGAGGTTAATTAATTTCTTTCTTTCTTCTTCTTTTACTTTTTTATTAAAATAATTCATTAGCGAATATCATTCGTCATATTTATATATTAAAAATTTTATTTTTTCTAAAATTTTTTACACTACTTTTTTAATATAGACAATATCATTAATCTTGGAGTTTTTTTTAATAAAAATGATATTAGTTTCTTTTCACAATTCAAATATGGGCAAAAGGAAAGGATGATAACATAAATACTATTGGATTAAATAGTTAATATTTATTAAAACAGGTTTATTTTGACTTCTACAACTATACATGTGGAGAGTTCTCTTATCTGTTTTCCTATACACAAAGACTTTTGCATTAATCTTTTTGCTTTTCTTCCTCTTTTTCCTCTCCTTAAAAGAGCATAATAAACTAAGTTTTTTTTTCCTAATCGCAAATTAGCGTTCTCTAGCAATTATATAATAGTGTATTTAATAAATAATTATTAACTTGATCTTAAACAATAATAAGAGACAAAGTGTTTCAAACTAATTAATATTAAAATATAGGAATCAATTCTTCGTATACATAATTTTTAATTTCTTCTATAATTGGGGTTTTTTTAATATATAATTGATATTGCTTTTTTTGTTTTAAAAATTTATGCATGGTTTGAATTCTTTGATTTAGTTATTTCAAAATAAAATTTAACAATGATATTACATTTCTGATCAACTCACATGATAATCTAATAGGATTATTTTAATTAGGTTTTCGTTCTTCTTTAGACTATTAATCGTTGAAAAAACTATGATACTTCCTTAGTAAATATTCACTTAGATTAAAAATATTAAATTAACTTAAAAAAAGGAGAAAGGAGAAACAAAAACAGCTATTAAATATTTATATTTCTTTAAAATTGAAAATAGGAAACAAGCAACAAAGAACAGAAATATTAAATTAGCCACCTTTTCTTACCTGATGACAGAATGCATAGCGAAGGATTTCTTTTCGATGTTCTTCTAATAATATAGTGTTAAGATGTCCTGTAATGTACAGTGCAAATACCTTATTCAAAAAAAAAAAAAAAAGAGTTATATGTGATGTAACATGGTGAGATAAAATAAATGAATTACAACCCACGCATTTTACAATAAATAGAAAAATATGAATTCTATTGACTAAGTGGTGAAAATTGACAAAATAAGTATTCTATAGGGTCCTTTTAACTTTTTTAATAATCATTTTCAAAACAAGTTTTATAGGCATTTGCTGACATCACCTTCGCACCAAATGACCCTTACTACCCCTCCACTAATATTTTAGACTTCTCTCCTTATTTCCTCTCTGTACCTCCATCTCCCTCTTTTTCCAGATTTTTTTCCATCGTCTCTGTTTTCTTATCCTTTTTCATTATTCTCTTTTCAGCAAAATTTTTTTTTTCTCATTCTCCCTAAAATTTTCTTGGAGTTTCTCTTTTCCATCTTCCCTCTTTCTCTATTTTTTCTATTACTATTATTCTCTTTCTTCTTTACTCACCACAGACGCAATTTTTTTTTCCTCGATGATTCCCGTGACTTTTAGCAATC